AGTATCGTTAAAACTCATAAAAATTTGCAGCAATGTTTTTATATAAAATATTTATAATTACTCTAGTTCTTAGTTTAGTTACTTTACCTAATTATGGATTATATGTACATAAATTAGGTGAAGAACATGAATTAGGTGGACGTAAATTAGACGAACATGAATTAGAAGGACGTAAATTAGAAGAACATAAATTAGAAAAAAGACGTAATTTAAATCTAAACTTTAAATAATTTTTTATTCGCAAATAATTGTCCTATTAACTTATTAACTTATTAACTTGCATTTTTATATTTTGTTTATATTGATTATTACAGAAAATCCTTACTCAATTGAAGCAAAACTTGCGTAATTATTTGTTTAAAAAAAGAAGAATGGGGTTTCAGAATTAACATTTTTTCAAAATAAGTGGGAACTTAATTTCTTTTTTAGAATTCCGAATCAAAAATTTAAATAGACATATCCGGCGACAAAATTGGCTTTTTTTTGATAAACATTCATTGGTAAACTTTAAAAAAATAAAATTTGTACGTCGCTTCTTTTGAAATAATTTGAAATCGGGCGCCGAATCATTAATTCTGAAACCCCCAATGCTGCAATGTCGCAATAACACTATGTTCCTTAATAATTTGAATTTTTTTTTTTCAACCTTATGTGTTATTATAGGCTGTAAGTATAATTTTCATATTTATTTGTATATTTATATATTTGGTTTATAATTTTTCAAATTATTCACTGTTTGGCATTCTCAATTTAATAATCAATTTAATAATACTGTACACATGTTCACATGTTCTGATTATTAGGGCGTACGTATGAGCTTAGTCCTTAAGTGAGTATCAATCGACTTTTAAACAAATTTAACCCAAATTTTTAAATAAATAAATAACATAAAATTATTCTTTTATCATAGAACTTACACGGGTTACCCAAAATTGGCTAATTAATTTCCCTACTAATTTTGTAATCTATTATCATAAATTTTAATTATATCACGTTTCGCGTTCTTTCATCAACTATTAGAGTGTAAATATATTTAAATATTATCCAATGGTTTTTATTATACTGTTTTTATAACCTAATGACGCTAATGACGTATTATTTAAATATATTCTGAATCATTAGACTCGCGTAAATATAAAATTTATTATGCATCTCAAATTAATTATATATGTCCTTATGTCCTAACAATTGTCATTTTCCTATATAATTATTAGAACGCAAGTATAACCTTTTTTCTTTAGGTTGTGCTTTTATAATCATACACATATAACTTATTCTTCTATTACTGTATTAGCATGTAGGTTTAAAAAATATTCATTTTTTATTTGCGTTTTTCTTGTCAACTTTTATAATATGTCACCTTTTTGATTTTTAGACCGTAAGTTTAGATTTATTCTTAAATGACTTTAGCTTATTCTTTTCGAATTTGCACTATATAATCTAATAATGTGCTCATATATTCTTTTGTTGGATTTTTAGATTGTATGTGAATATTTTGTCAGTTTTATTTTAAATGATTTTTATATTATTCTTTTCTAATTTACTCTATAAAATAATAATATGCGTAATCATTTGCCGGATTAACAGAAGGTAAATATAAAATTTATTTATATATTTCTGAAATTATCAATTTATATTTCTAATAATATATAATTTTATGTTAATTCATTAGATTGTAAGCATAAACCATATTTTATTATTTTTATTCTTTCTGTAATTATTAATTTATAATGATAATTCTTAATGTTTTTTTTTGTTCAATTATTAGAGTGTACGTATTTTTATTTTTAAATTACTCTTGTAACTTAATACTGCAAGTGCTCACATATCTTTTTGAATTATTAGTGAATATTATATCGAGTATTTATCATTATTACCAAAATTATCAGTTTGTCCTTTAATTGATTTTATAACTTAATTATATACATTTTCATACATTCTTCTATTACATTATTAGTGAGCGGTATAATTTTCAATATTATTCATTTTAAATTATCTATTTTCAAATTTTAATGCATTTATTTCAATTTTTTTATATTTCCGGATTATCAGTCAGTAAGTATTATGTTTATTTATTATCATTAGATGTATTTTAAATTATTCACTAATTAGCTTTGATTTTCTGTTAAAGAAAGTAAGAATTACTTATATTTATTACTAATACAGTAATACAGTTAGACTTCTCTAAATGCAACTCCTAATGTAATGCCTCTATATGAATTTTCAATGACTAACTTAGATATTTACTAGATCTATAAATTTAGCTTTTTTATGCTTCTATAAATGCAAGCTTCAAAGTTTGTCTATGAGTTGCATTTAGAGAGGTTAATTGTATTATGATTGATTTTTAAATGCAACTATATAATGGTTTTTATGATTTAATTATTAGAATGTAAATATTCGCTTATTTATTTTAAAACTGGAATTTTATAATTTTTACTGTGCTTCTTTAATTTGTCTTCATAACTTATTATATGTATATACTTTTCTGTCAAATCATTAGGGAGTAAGTATAAGCTTTGTTGCGCTTCTTTTCATTTGTCTTTATAACTTATTATATATTTACGATATACTTTTCTGTCAATTATTAGGGAGTAAGTATAAATTATCATTTATGACGTTTATGTCTCTCTAATTGGATTTTGTTATTTCAATATGTTATCATCATTTTTTTTTTTTTGATTATTTCTAATATATTTTATGCAAAATTATTTTTTAAAAAATTTTTTTGTGAAATACTAGCATTAGAGAGTAAGCATAAGTTTCATTATATTTATTTAAAAATATTTTGTTTATTATTTTTAATTTTTACTTCTCAAATTGATTATATAATGCATTTTCTTATAAGTTCGTAAGTATATTCTTAATTGCATTTATTTGTAAAAATTATTAAATTTTAATTTACTTTCTTACTTTGCATATTAAATTATTTTTATAACCTTGATTATAAAATTTTAGTTTGTAAGTATAAACTTTATTTTTAAATGGTTTATGATTTTTCATGTATTGTATTTAT